TGTAATTTAAATGAATAAAATTGACCCATCATACGAACAAATCAGGATACAAACAAGTCCACGAAACGGATTAAATTCGTAACCCGAGGTTCCACTATAATTGCACCTTTGAGCCTTTGAGAATGAGTATGTGGGTATGGTTGAAATGCTTTTAAAATCTCTGCAATCTGTTCCAGTATTGTTCCTTTCTGGGTTTTTGTATGGTATGGGAAAAAATTGCATGTATAATCTGGGACAATTCAGTAGAGCCACACATATTTGTAGATTGCCAAACTTCTATTAGTCTTACTAACCATCTTCAGGTTAAAGCAATTTTTTTTTACTAGCTGAATCCTGAGGGATACAGCTAGCTTTTGTGAAACTTTGTTTGGAGGTGGGAATCTTATGGGGCTATAGGACCCAACATGTATTTATGTAACTAAGTACAGTGGAACCTCTACTTGCGAGCGTGTCCACATGCAAGTTTTTCCAAATACGAGCAGTCGATGGGTCAATTTTTTGCTTCCACACGCGAGCAAAATTTCCATAAGCGAGCAGACCTCAAGACACTGATGAGGGGCTCTTGCTCTTGAGCTTGGGAATTGTATCTCATTTGTTTGTTGGACTATCTTATTGAATCTTGGGCAATGCATGATGAAAAGATGCTTCTTAACGTACACCAAAAATGAAAGAAATCTAAGCATAAATAATGGAGTTCACTTCTCAGCAATTAGCCACCCCTTAGCAGTATATTCGTATGCTTTTTATGGTTGTATTCTCGTTTTTTTGGTCTCATTTGATAGAATGGAAGATATATTATAGAAATAGATATGATTTTGATTGCTTTCACAATGAAAAGTACCTTGAAATTGAGCTCAACGTAGGAGAAATGGTCCATTGCTTGGTTATGTTTAAGAGTAAAGAAATTACATCACTGTCCATTTCAATATTCAGTCGTGAATGGGTTGATATTATTTATATGATTATTGCAATAAGAAATAACAGTAAATCTTATATTTTTTGGGAGACGGCTGACTTGTTGAAAAAAAAAAAAAAATGTATAATAATAATAATAGTATAATAATGTAGCACTTACTCACTTTGGAATACCTAATTGCATTAAACTGCTGGGGCACAACTGCTTTAATTCTGTCATAAGGGCAGATCACTCTTTTGGAGAAAAAGCCAGTTGGATTAAGTCATGTTCTTTTCAATATAAATGGGTTGTACTATAAAAACACACAATTAAGGTGTAGCAATGGCTCAAACAAAATTTTTGTAGTACCTAAAGAATTGGGCATATCGACTTTTTTTTGTTTGTTTGTTGTTGTTGGGTAGATGGGAAGAGGCTAGCTGGCTCTCTCTTGTAGTTATGGTGCCAACTTGGCAGGACCTTCTCCTCCACTCATGCTTCTGGGCAAGATATGAGTGCCCCAGAGGTAAGATTTGTACATGAATACTGCCCTAAAAAAACTAAACAGATGACAGCTAAGAGACTGAACAGTCCCTGGCTAACACCCAGCATTCTCAAATCCATAAATACAAAACACCAATATGAAAAACAGTACAGAATGGGTCACATAACCAGAGACCAAACAAAACGTTACTCGTCAATCCTAACCAGCCTGATAAGAAGGGCAAAAAAATTGTATTATGAGAACAGATTATCCAACTTACGAGGTGATATAAAAAAGACCTGGAAAACCCTATCAGAAATTCTGGGAACAAAAAAGATATCACGAAATAGCGAAATAAAATTAGCAAAATCAGATGAACCCCAACTCCCACCAACAGAAACAGCAAACAGACTCAATGATTTCTTCTCCACTATAGGACTAAACCTTGCCAATAAAATCCCAAGCTCAGATACCCCACCAAATGACTACCTCACCGGCAACTACCCGAACATACTGTTCCTAGCTCCGACTAACCCATACGAAGTCTCCCTTATTATCAACGCACTAAAAAACAAGGCAGAAGATTTAAATACCTTACCACCCTTTATATACAAAAAAGTGTCACAAGTGCTATCACCAATCATTGCAACACTCTTTAACAAATCCATTGAATCCTCCACCTTCCCTACAGTACTCAAAATAGCAAGGGTCACCCCAATCCACAAAGGAGGAGACCAAACAGAGTTGAATAACTATAGGCCAATATCCAACTTACACCCTCTCTCAAAAATCTTCGAAAAATTAATTCATAAACGAATCTACTCCTACCTTATCTCCCAAAACATACTCAACCCCTGCCAATTTGGATTCAGGCCTAATAAAAATACTAATGATGCTATTATACACATGCTAGAACATATATACACTGCAATAGAGAAAAAAGAAGTCCCACTGGGGATCTTCATTGACTTACGTAAAGCTTTTGATACAGTTGACCATGACTTGCTCCACGTAAAATTGTCACACTATGGTATAAGAGGGCACTCCCTCAACTACCTCAAGCCATACCTCAGCAACAGAAGCCAATATGTGTACGCAAATGGGGCAAACTCTTCTGCACAACCAATTACAGTTGGTGTCCCACAGGGAAGTGTCCTTGGCCCTCTTCTCTTTCTCCTATACATAAATGACCTACCAAATGCTTCGCAATTTCTCAAACTCACACTATTTGCAGATGACACTACATACGTCTTCTCCCACCCGAGCCCAGTCACGCTAGCCAATACTGTAAATACCGAACTACAGAAAATATCTACCTGGATGAGGACTAACAAACTTACACTAAACATTGACAAAACCTACTTCATTCAGTTTGGTAACAGAGCTACAGATGTCCCTCTTAACATAATGATAAACGGATCACCTATCACAAAGCTAACAGAGGGAAAATTCTTAGGAATCCACCTTGATAATAGACTCAAATTTCATACACATATACAAGAAATTTCTAAAAAAATTTCCAAGACTGTAGGCATACTATCGAAGATACGGTACTATGCTCCACAGTCAGCCCTCCTGGCCTTATATCACTCTCTTATTTACCCCTATCTCACCTATGGAATTTGTGCATGGGGCTCAACAACAATTAACCATCTCAGACCACTAATTACCCAACAAAAGGCTGCAGTTAGAATGATAACAAATTCTCACTACAGGCAGCACACTCCACCAATATTCAATACACTAAACCTACTCACGATACAAAACATCCATACTTATTACTGCACCTATTACATACATAGAACACTTAACTCTGATATTAACCCTCCCCTCAAACATCTCCTTGCCAACCTCAACAGAACACATGACCATAACACAAGGCACAGATCACTCTTTGATGTTCCTCGTGTCCATCTCACACTATGCAAAAACTCAATGCACATAAAAGGCCCTAAAATCTGGAATTCATTACCTGTAAATATAAAAGAAACACTACCTGTTTATAAATTCAAGTCCCTTCTCAAAGATCACTTACTCACCCAAAACCAAATAAATACTGAATAACTGAACCTTATAAATTGTATATCTTAAATGTTTCTCACAATTATATCACATAAATGTTAAACCTAAAACCCAATCTATCTTTACTATTTTTTAAATACACTACCTAACAGAATTCTCCATACGACTGAATGTACAACAATGCATGCAACCATATGACCTGTCTTTGTAATACTCACTTGTGCTTTATAGTAATATGTTTACATTAATGTTTTATCACTGATTTCATCATTGCTTAGTTAATCTTAAGTTAATTTTAAGCCAGCCCGTAATGCTATGCATAGTATAAGTGGCTTTGGCATGCTGCTCTTATCTGTATTTTTTTTTTTGTACCTCTGTATGTGTGCTCAAATTGTAAATAAATAAATAAATAAATAAATGTAACCATTATACCCAGAGTGACTACAGTGTGTCAAAATACTGGGTTAAGGAGTACTAATCAGTTCAGATGGACCATGTGACTGTACTGGCTGAACAGTTAAGGTTGTGCATCCTTTTATTATGAACAGGAAAATGATTAATATGTTTTTTTTTTTTTTTTTTCAACAAGTCGGCCGTCTCCCACCTGTTTAGAATATAGTCTTAGTTTTATAATAGTAAAAATAACCTGTTGAGAGGGTTGGTGAAAAGATTTCAGAGACTGAGGATGACCAATCATGAATGTAATTATTCCCCTAGACTTTATAAGGCCTTATTTATGCTACCCCACACGAGAACATGTAGTGAGAACCGTAGTGAAAATAACGTAACACATAATGAAAACACCATAACATTAACTGTACTATGCAAGGTATTGCTGTATAGTAGTACCAAAACTCTTATATGGGTGTGAAGCATGGGTTATGAATGTTACAGCAAGGAGGAAGGTGGAGGCAGAGGCAATGTCATATCTGAGGGCAATGTGTGGTGAAAATATTATGCAGAGAATTCATAGCCTGGAGATTAAGAGGTGTGGAGTTACTAAAAGTATTATCTAGAGGGCTGAAGAAGGATTACTGAGGAGTTTGGACATTTAGAGAGGATAGACTAAAATATGACGACTTGGAGGATGTATAAATCTGTAGTGGAGGGAAGGGTGGGTAGGGGTTACCCTAAGAAAGGTTGGACGGAGGGGGTAAGGGAGGTTTTGTGTGCGAGGGACTTGGACATCCAGCAGGCCTGTGTGAGCATTAAGAGTGAGTGGAGGCAAATGGTTTATGGGACTTGATGAGCTGTTGGAGTGTAAGCAAGATAACACTTGTCACAGGATTCAGGGAAACTGGTTAGCTGGACTCAAGTGTTGGAGATAGGAAGTACAGTGCCTGCACTCTGAGGGATGTGTGGGGATGATGTAGTTTGGAGAGGTATATGAACTGTAATATCAGCACACCTTTGGCAAGACAACAGTAATAGAGTGAATGATGCTGAAAGTGTTTCTTCTTTTATGAGTCACCCTACATCGATGGGAGATGACTGGTGTGTTAAAAAAATCTGAATTATAATGAATTATTACAGTAACAGAAAATAATTTTTATAAAATAATGACAATATCTAACTTATTACTGACTTGACGATAGTACTCACTATTGGGACACGCCTATGACCTGGTGTCTCAGGAGAAAAGGCATTACGACGTCCATCCTCTAATTCTTTTTTGGTTTCTAATATCTGAGCCACTAGAAGACCTGCTCCCTCACCATCTTCTCCAACTGTTGCTGCTGCTGCTGCTGCACCCATAGCAGCTGCAGCATCCAGGGAATTCTGAAGGTGTGCATTACAAAATGACGCTAAAATGGTGCTACACTCAATTAATTTACAGTTTTATCTGCCTCTTGTTTCGGTAAAACTGAAAACGTTTTTCTCAGTATAAGCCATTTTCCTACTATGCCAGAATATATTCAGCACTAGTCTCCATTAAAAAAATCTTTGAAGTTAAAAAAAATAAGTTTTCTGCCAATTGTTCACCAAACAGAAATGATTAAAATGCAATGAAAGGAAAAGATAAATGACTACATATTGTTTTGTATTTTTTAAGTTTCCTAATAAAACTCATTAAATTTTGTGTATTTTATTTGTCCTCTTCCAAACTTTTTTCAGTAAACATTTTTTTTTTAGAAAAGACTGTATGTATGACATCCCTAAACAGTACTTACTGCATCTTCATCCAGGGTCAGAGCAGGTTTTGTTTCTTCAACTACAAAATTATCATCATCATCATCATTATCACCTGCACCAGAAGAGAGGATGACATTCGCTACAGGTTTACCAGTACCTGGGCGTTGTAATTCTTCCTTGGGTATCTCTCGTCTCTCTCGAACTTTTGGAGGTGCAGGACGTGCACTAGGGGGCCGAGCTGAGCGTCTACCAGTTCGAGGTCGCACACTTGTATCTCCTGAAGGATACTCTCTGTAAAGTAGTTTCAAATAATATTAAAAATGAATTCATATTTTTTTAACGCACCACCATCTCCCACCCAGGTAGGGTGACCCAAAAAAGAAGAAACTCACCATCGCTGTTTTGCCAGAGGCGTGCCAACATTACAGCTCAGATGCCCCTCCAAGCTGTAGCATCTCCATCCCTTTCAGAGTGCAGGCACTGTACTTCCCACCTCCAGGACTCAAGTCTGGCTAACCAGTTGCCCTGAGTCCCATCATGTTATCTTGCTCTCATTCTATAAGCATGTCAAGTCATAAAAACCACTTGCCTTCGCTAACTTATCCAACAAGCTCACACACACCTGTTAGATGTCTAAGTCCTTTGGATGTCCAAGTCCCTCACATACAAAGCCTCATTTATCCCCACCCTACAACCTTTCCTAGAATGACCCCTACCCCTCCTTCCCTCCATTACAGATTTATATAATCCCAAGTCATCCTATTTTCTCTATTCTCTCTAAATGTACAAATTTCCTCAATAACCCTTCCTCAGCCCTCTGGATAATACTTTCAGTAACCCCCTGTAGTTCTTTCTAAGCTCCAAATCATGAATTTTCTGCATAATATTCACCCCACACATTGTCTTCAGACATGACATCTCACTGCAAGGTTAGCATGTATTATGCTGTTAATTTTAGAAAAAACTCCTTTTGTCATTTCAATCTATTTTTTTTTTTTTTAGAAAATACTAAATTACTAAATTTAATTAACCCTTTGACTGTCAAAAGGCCCAATCCTGAAGTGTCTCCTGGTGTCACAAAATATTTGAAAAAAACAAATTATTATTTTTCCTTATTAAAATGTTAAGATTATTTTTCTGATTGTTTTAGTCCAAAAAAAATAATTTTCCCATCAGTACAGTGGACCCCCGCATAACGATTACCTGCGAATGTGACCAATTATGTAAGTGTATTTATGTAAGTGCGTTTGTACGTGTATGTTTGGGGGTCTGAAATGGACTAATCTACTTCACAATATTTCTTATGGGAACAAATTCGGTCAGTACTGGCACCAGAACATACTTCTGGAGTGAAAAAATATCGTTAACCGGGGGTCCACTGTACTTACCCAGATATAGAGGCATGAAGTTTGCAGAAAATGAGCTGCATATGGCAACAGCGGCGACTGCCGCTCACCCGGTAAACTTTGGTTTACTTGTATTTGAAGGTTTGTTGTTTTTTTCACTATTTTATTTTTTCACATAACTTATGTGGCCAGTGAGACCAAAGTAAGGTGCAATGTACATATATACACTTGTTGTATACAACACAATAAGCACACAAACATAATTATCAATATATTGTTTACAAAACTTGTTTACAAAAACAAACAATACAAAAAATTGTTTATTACTATTGATCTATAATATATATACCAATATACAGTCACTGGACATATTCCTAGAATTTCTGCAGCTTGTGTAACTCTTTGAAACATGGTGTCATACACAATGGTGTTTTACACTCCTCACACATAAAACCAGTGTGTGTGCATTTTTGTGGAAGTTTTTTTTTATGTGCAAAGACAAAACACCTCGTCTGAGCAGTTTTCTTCAAAGTACAGTGGACCCCCAGTTAACGATATTTTTTCATTCCAGAAGTATGTTCAGGTGCCAGTACTGACCGAATTTGTTCCCATAAGGAATATTGTGAAGTAGATTAGTCCATTTCAGACCCCCAAACATACACGTACAAACGCACTTACATAAATACACCTATATAATTGGTCGCATTGGGAGGTGATCGTTAAGCGGGGATCCACTGTATTAGCAGGCAGTTGTGTTATGTAGTTATCCTAGGTAAATCGTCGTGTGTCATCATTCCTTCCTTCCTAATTTCCTTCATTCCTTTCCTGCATTCCTTTCCTACCTTTCTTCCTACATTCCTTCATCTGTCCTTCCTTACTTTTTTCCTTCCTTTCATCTCGTCCTTCCTTCATTCCTGCCTTCCCTTCTTGCTTCTGGTTTCTATAATATATATACACATATATAGTCACTAGATACTTTCATATAACTGCTATTATCTCCATTCAACAAGCTTGTCTCGGGTGCGAGTGTGTGGCTTATAACTGTTTTGAGTCAGGAGTCGGCAGCTGTCAAAATGACTTATTGCCTCATTACTCACTCTCCCTACCGCCTGTCAAAACATTGGGGTCGGATGCTGCTTCCCATCCATTCTATCTAATTATCTTTCTCCCTCATTCTACTTCCCCTCCATTCTATCTAATTATCTTTCTCCCTCATTCTACTTCCCCTCCATTCTATCTAATTATCTTTCTCCCTCATTCTATCTCTTTCAATGTCTCTCTCTTTCTCTGTCTGTCTATCTCTGTCTCACAGGTACACATAAATACAAGTACAGGTCTCCCTCAACATTCACGTTTTCAACTTTCGCGGGCTTCACACATTTGCGAATTACCAACCGCCAAATTCCCGGCCTCCAAATTCCCAGCCGCCAAATCATATTTAAGTTTCCCGCCACCTGCGAGTCCCTACTACCCTCCCTCCGACCCCCGCAACTGGCAGCCAGCCCTCCCACAAGTGTCGTGAGTGTTTTGTTTGTTCATTATTTGCTATTAACCCTTTGACTGTTTCAGGCCCCTCTCTGAAACTGTCATTCTATGTCGCCAAATATTAAAAAAAAAAAAAAATTATTTTTTCTTACGAAAATGTTAAGATTATTTTTCTGAGTGTTTTAGTCCAAAAAAAAAAAATTTTGCCATCGGTACTTACCGAGATATAGAGCCGTGAAGTTTGCAGAAAATGAGCCGCGTATGGCAACAGCGGTGACTGCCGCTCACCTGGTAAACTTTAGTTTACTTGTAATTGAAGGTTTTTTGTTTTTTTCACTATTTTATTTTTTCACATAACTTATGTGGCCTATGAGACCAAAGTAAGGTGCAATGTACATATATACACTCGTTGTATACAACACAATAAGCACACAAACATAATTATCAATATATTGTTTACAAAACTTGTTTACAAAAACAAACAAACAATCATCCTCCTCCTCCTCCTCCTTCTCCTCCTCCTCCTTCTCCTCCTCCTCCTTCTCCTTCTCCTCCTCCTCCTCCTCCTCCTCCTCCTCCTCCTCCTCCTCCTCTCCTCCTCCTCCTTCTCCTCCTCCTTCTCCTCCTCCTTGTCTTGTGTGCGAGTGTGTGGCTTATAATTGTTTTGAGTCAGAAGTCGGCAGCTGTCAAAGTGACATACTGTCTCATTACTCACTCCCCCTACCTCCTGTCAAAACAATGGGGTCGGATGCTGCTTCCCCTCCTCCATTCTATCTAATTATCTTTCTCCCTCATTCTATATCTTTCAATCTGTCTCTCTTTCTGTCTGCCTATCTCTGTCTCACAGGTACACATAAATACAAGTATACATAGTGTAAATTACCTAGGATAACCCAAGAAATCCAGACAAAGTGCTATACTCTGCTTGAAGATGTGAGTAAAAGTGATGACACAGTCTTGTGGCTCTCTCTGAGACAGAGAGCTAGATGGACAGACAGGGAGCTTGACAGACAGACAAATAGACAGAAATGTTTGTGTACCAGCAAAAACAAAGGGAGGGCGATGGTCATCTAATATTTCCTTAGCTCTACCCTCACCCTCGTTTACACTCATCAAAGTCAGCTCTTATCAGATGTTATCTCCCCTTATCTTGTCACTGTCATGGGGTGGACTTTTTTTTTCTTGCTTCAAAGGAACAATATTATTACATCTTCTTCTTCTTCCTCCTCCTCCTCCTCTTCTCCTCCTCTTCCTCCTGCTCCTCCTCTTCTCCTCCTCCTCCTCCTCCTCCTCTTCCTCCCCTCCTCCTCCTCCATTGCTTTTGGTCTCAAACTCCTCCAAATCATGAAATTGATCTTCACTGACACTTCCATCTGTGTTAGAGCATCACTTGGGAAGAGAAGAGTCCCAGATTTGCTGGAGAATCACATATTTCTTACCGCTAGACATGCTGAAAATGGACAACTGAAATGGCATTCCCACAATGCACCACTGACTCCCCGATTTTTTTTATATGGTGCACACTGACCATGGAGACCCATTCTCTCACATGAGGGCCTACCAGCTTTCTCCTGCTTGATTTGAAGCTGCTAGAATTTATGCGTATAAATACGTCAGAAACATTGGCTCGTAAGACGTATTTATATGTCAGAAACAGTCAAAGGGTTAAACTACAGTATAAATAATGTAAGCCCATTCATGATTGCATATTGGAATGACTATTCGGACAGGTATTGGACGGTGACATCATGTGTTACTCTTGAACACAGCAAAGAATCAAACATTTCTGCTACTGCTAATAATAACAATAGTAGTAGTAATAATAATAATAATAATTATAATAATAAATACGATAGAATTGAAGAAAGAAATTGTACAAAAATACGAAGGAGTGGTTGACACATCGTCAGTGTGGCTTTGTTTATGCTGGAGTGAGCATTAGTCTCTGTGCTCTTCCAAATATTTCACAATAATTCATTGTGTTTGGTGCTTGTAGATTGAGTGCGACTGGGGTGCTAGAGGCAGTGGTTGGGGAAGCGGTTGAGGCATTGGGTGAGGCAGTGGGTGAGGCAGCGGTTGAGGCAGCGGGTGAGGCAGTGGGTGAGGCAGTGGTTGAGGCAGCGGTTGAGGCAATGGGTGAGGCAGTGGTATTTAATAACATACATGTTATTAATAGTAATAATAATAATAATAATAATAATAATAATAATAATAATAATAATAATAATAATAATAATAAATGTTATTAGTAACATGTATTATCATTATTTATAACATGTTATTAAATACCACTGCCTCAACTGCTGCCTCTACCATTGCCTCAACCACTGCCTCACCCACTGCCTCACCCACTGCCTCACGCACTGCCTCTACCATTGCCTCAACCACTGCCTCACCCACTGCCTCAACCGCTTGCCCAACCACTGCCTCTACCACTCCAGTCGTACTCAATCTACAAGC